TTGTCAGTCTATGTGATAATTAGTACTCAAGATATCAGTGGAAAAGCCGAAAATTGACTAATCATTATGAAAATTAGATAATTAATATGCATAAATTTTTACCTAAGACTAATAAAGTATGTGCATTGTCCCAGACCATCTTTGTACTAAGTTTGGTGAAAATCCAATGAGTGGTCCTTCAGATATCAGTGGAACAGTCATGGAAATTAGGTAAATCAAATTTAAATTTAAACCAAAACCTTATCAAATCTGCACATTAGCACGGAGCATCTATGCATCAACTTTCATCAAAAACCAACAAATGATTATTGAAATATCAGTGGAACATGCACACACACATGCAGACACACATGCAGACACACATGAAGACACACATACACATGCAGACACACATGAAGACACACATGAAGACACACATACACATGCACACACACATGCAGACACACCAACTGCAAAGACTCCTTTTATGTGCTTTGCACATGGAAGTCAAAAATGGAATAAAGGGTGACACACTGAGCATTATTGCATGATAACAGGGTAAGGATAGAGATGTGTGCAATATTGAACAGAAAGAATTAAATGGTGGATTTCTCCAGTCCACACAAATCTGAAAAAAAACTTTGAATATTAACACACAGAGTATACATGTATGTTCATATTTGGTGCATAAACCTCAAAGCATTGCCTCATTCAATGCCAGTTTGGGGTACAAGTTTTTGAGTAATACAAGTTGCAAAGACAAACTGGTAAAAAGACGTGCTGCTAAGCTGTCAATCAATGTCATGTGATGTGGAAACGTTGAAACAGGATGCATCAGTCTAATCTTCACAAACATTCACACACTTCTAATGTATTGTTCATTATCGCATAACAGGTTCAATGAAGACAAAGGAAATCGTGTTTGAAAATTCAAAACGTCACTGTGAAGAGTAAGAGTCAGAAATACCCCTAGTTTTTTAAATGAAATTAATGTAATCAGTTGTGTTAAGTACTGTTCACTATTATGTTCCAAGTCCAATATGGTCTGCCTCAGAAACTTGAAGCATTTAGTTTGTAGACACCTAACAACATCCATCTAATCATAAAAAGAACGATCTCGGGTTGATATGTAAAAATCAATCCATCACAAAAAAAAACTATGCAATTAATCACTGTGCTTTGGACTCACCAATGTGTCAAAAGTAATTATCTGCTTCCATGAATTCACCAAGCAGACGTTTCGAAGTATTGCTTCCATGAATTCACCAAGCAGACTTTTCGAATTGCCGCTTCCATGAATTCACCAAGCAGACTTTTCGAATTGTCGCTTCCATGAATTCACCAAGCAGACTTTTCGAAGTGTCACTTCCATGAATTCACCAAGCAGATGTTTCGAAGTGTTGCTTCCATGAATTCACCAAGCAGACTTTTCGAAGTGTTGCTTCCAGGAATTCACCAAGCAGACTTTTTGAAGTGACGCTTCCATGAATTCACCAAGCAGACTTTTCAAATTGTCGCTTCCATGAATTCACCAAGCAGACTTATCAAAGTGTCACTTCCATGAATTCACTAAGCAGACTTTTCGAAGTGTCACTTCCATGAATTCACCAAGCAGACTTATCAAAGTGTCACTTCCATGAATTCACTAAGCAGACTTTTCGAAGTGTCACTTCCATGAATTCACCAAACAGACGTTTCAAAGTGTTGCTTCCATGAATTCACCAAGCAGACTTA